ACCCTGGAATACCATGATTAAAAATAAAGAATCAAAAAGGAAATTGAAAATAAGTGTTCATAATGGAATGACGTTTTCTATGAAGGAACTAAGACACAGACACAGAAATACAGATATAAATTAATATGCTAAATATGAAATACGCTTAAAATACCAAAAATAAACTTTTGTCCAAAACAAAGCAAGTTCATTTCAGGCATTAAAAAACTGAAAATTATGTTTATACATATTAAATTTTTTTTTGAAATACTTCTTTAAAATTTAATATAATGTAATAAAAGAATATTAAAATGCGTTTTTTGTGAATATTCTGTTGTGTATGATTCTGGGCTCTACGAAACAATTTTATACTTGTTAAAACAATATTTTGCAAAATTAAATAATTCTCTAATGGAAAATGCTTTTTTTAAAAAAATTTACACCTATAATAGAGAGGAAAAAGACCTATAATGAAGAAGAGATGTTAAAATCTAAATTTAAGCAAAAACAGTTTATAAATTTTAGGTTGCAAATTCATACAGAATACACAAGACTTCTCTCACAGCTATAAACATTTTAATGACATTCAGTACAATGTATTTCAGTGAAAAATATTTATTAACGTATGTAGCTACAAATATATAAAAATAAATTAAACGCAGAATATTTGGGAAATGCAGATGCAGATAACTTCAATTGGCCTATTTATCAACAGTTCGAAAAATGCAAGCACATATTCCAGTTACTAATTATAATCAGTGCCGATTTAAGCTCATTTCGGGCCCTGGGCGCAGAAGATCTATAGGCCCTCTTGGCACTGGCGGATTGAAATTCATAACCAGAAAATCTATTTAAGTCCAACTTATCCGGACCCTTTCGTGTCTCTACGGGCCCCAGGCCCCTGGGCACCCACCCCAAGCGCTTAAGGGATAAACCGGCACTGAATATAATGCATGTGTAGGTGAAACATGAAGCATAATTTAATTTTATTAATGAGTAAAAATGTGTATTATTAAGAAGCGTATAAATTATATTAACATTATATAAAAAAATTTTACTATTAGATGCGATACTTTCCGTTAAGAGGATTGGTACGATTTATTAAAAAAAATCTTTCATTTAATGATCTTTACAACTGTTTTGCTTGTAACCTATGTATACGTTTTACGTAAACAATTTTTTTGTGCTCAAAATACTTCAAAAAGCTAACCATTTAATTTAAAAAAATATATAAATATTTATGAAGGGATTTTAAAAAGATACTTCTCATACAATAATTGACATACACACATGAATCTTGATTTGCAAATACGTCAAACTATGCATAACAAACGTTGGTGTACGGGCTTTCTGCTAACAACGATTGATGTTCGTAAAATGCTTTTTTTATGAATGCTTATTGAAAATTCCTTGACAAATGCATAAATTTCAAATTCAAGTATATTTTTTTAAAAATAAGTATTGCTTTATTTAAAAAAAAGTGCGCACTAATTTTTGTTACGTGTACTAATAGCAATAGGTAGGAAAAATATCAAAACATTTGGCACAATAGAGAAAAAGAAAAACCCGTAACATTTTAAATGAAGATAAATTTGTTATTTTTTCCTTCTGAGATATATCAGTTTAAAGTTTTTGTTTGTTGTTGTGGGATGTGATAAAAATAAGCATAAACTGGATTTTTTTTTGTATAGCTTGGATCTTTCAAATTTTGTGAGATTATAGAAAATTATATATAAAAAACAAGTAAAATATTTAAAAAAAAATTTTTTTGTTAACGTCACTTCCTACTTAGGTCAACAAAGGAAAATTTTATTTTAGTTACTTTTTATATAAATATGTATGTACCTATGGCAGAATCACAATATTAAGGGGTAAAGTAGAAAGCGATTTTCCATTTTCCTTTCTATATATAATGTTGGGCTGTTATTTTTGTTTGTTACTATTTATTTATTAATTTAATTTAATTATTAAAATAAAATATTACAGTAAAAAGAAACCAAATTCTCAGAAATTAGACCATCCTAGATGGGATTCAAAACCACGACTTTTGGATTCGAAGTCCAACGCTCTACCCATTGCGCGCCTCTAGCGATTTTAATTTTTATATAAGGCGTTGGACTATTATTTTTATTTGTTACTAATTATTGATTAATTAATGAATAAATATTTGAAAAACTGTATTAATATCAAGTGTCATCTACTACAAGTTTTTAAAAAAAGTATTTGAACTTGAGTGGATGAATAAAAAGTATTTTATTAACGATTGGAAATCTAAACAAGATATATATATATATATATGTGTGTGTGTGTGTGTAATAATTCCCTCTAACGTACATTTAATTAACTCTTTAATGATCTATAAATAATCTTTAATTCTTAGGTTTAAAAGTAAACGTTGTAATCTTAATCGTAATCGGCTAAACCGATTTCCGTCTCCCGCGCATTTTAGCCAATCAGATGCCCAAAGAAAAATGCCTATTCAACGTAATCGCACTCTCTTGCTCTGCTTGCCGCCATCACGTAAGATTGTAAATACTTGCTGCTTTTTTTTGTCTTTGTGTTGGGCCCTCCAAAACGCCGCTGTCTATGCAATGTTAACGTAACGTAATTGTGCTTTAATCTGTTGATGTGCGCTCATAATAAAGGAGGTAAAGCTATTCTGAAGACGTCATTACTAAATCAACATTGATACTTACTCTACACCGGCCAACACTACTTCAATCTATTTCATATATATATATATATATATATGTATGTATGTATGCATGTGTAAAGAGAGTATGAACTAATAATAGGAATTGAATAATTCAGGCTTAAAAAAAATTATTTGAATATTTGACCGATTTTTGTCAATAGAATCGTACTGTGTTCCCGGGTCTCAGGGGTGTTAACTTTGTCTCGAGGGCTGAAAATATAAACAATTTTCAAATAGATATAATTCTTTGACATTAAAATTAAATGATTCCAATCTTTTACACATTATTTATAATGGAATGAGGCTTCAAATAAGTGTAAAACATTTAAAATATAGTCATAACTTTAAATATTATAAGCTAATGAAGAAAAGGAACATTTCTGTAAGAAATATTATTTAAGTTTTACTTTGCGCATGTTCTTTTTAAAATATTAACTCTAATTACTAGCAATAAGTTGATTTATTAAGTTAAATGTGTGATGGATCTACTCGCGTACCTTCTTCTGATCCTCTTGGGAAATCTTTGGGCTATCGATTCGCGTTTATCACAACCAACCTTTCGGAAGAAGAAATCGTGATATGCGAACTAAGCTTACTATATATAGTCGAAGTTTTCCAGCTAGAATACAGTAGGAGTGGATGTAAACCAGGAAACAGGTGAGATTGTTACTGACAGGTATCATTATTGAATTATTGTGAATAAATACTTATTAGGGGAAAGGTTTAAATTGATGTTTGATCACTGAGATTAAATTAATATTAGATTAAATCGGATAATAGATTAGATCCTATATAAAGTAAGGATCGAGTTTGATAGTCTCCTAGTCATTCGAGTATTTCGCCGTTGTTCCACTTTCGCGGTTAGCACCGAGACATTCACTTAGTGTTATTAATTGAATTTATGTCGTTATATTGGTGTGATCAATAAATAGATTGATTGGATCATGGCGAGTGTTGCTTCCCTACCTCCAACATATCTAAGGTGTCCAAGAGAGAGGTGAAGATCTCTCAGAAATGTATTCTTATTACACTGTAGCTATTTTTATAGAAATATAATAATAAATTATATATTTTAAAAAATTAAAAAAAAATTACATTTTAAATTTCAATATTTTTAAAATAGTTTGAAATAAAAAAGATATACAATACTAAAATTAGGTAGGGCTTAAAGAGTATGATACTGTTTATAATTCTACAAAGCCTTATACATCAAAGACTACTATTTTAGAAAACAGCATGAGCAACGTAAAAATTACTTAATGTTTATTACAGAAATGTTTCTTATTTTCATATGCTTATAATTTTTTAAAATATCTTTATATTTTAAACATTTTTTTACTTTTTTGAAACCTTATTCCTTTATAAATAATGCGTAAAAGATTCGAATTACTCAATTTTAATTTAAAAGAGTTATATCTACTTGAATCTTTTTTATGTTTTCAGCCTTCGAAACATAATTAACACCCCTGAGAGGCCTTAATTGTTATTATATAGAGTACTTATAACATGTTGATTTACTTTAAGTATTATTTTAAGATATGTTCTTCTAAGTAAGTAAGTAAGTAAGTGTATGGAGCAAGGCTTTTCCCTAAACACTTAATAATTCAAAGGGTTCTGTGAGTCAAAAAAGTTTGAAGAGATCCCCGATCTGTATTAACATTAGAATGAAATATTTCACATCTATTACTACCGTATTGATGTTGTTTGAAATGCTCTATTTTGCGCTTTAAATATTTGTTTTCATGAATAAAAAAAAAAAAACAAAACCTGTAAGTAATGCAGGGGTACTAAACCTTTTTACCCGCTGGGCCACATACGTATGACAAGTATTTCACGCGGGCCACAACATGAGGATACGGGGAAAACAATATAATACTAAAGCAATATATATATATATATATATACAAATAGCTATAAAAGCTAAGTATAACTAGTCAAGATAGTAGGACATATTAGCCTCAGTAGAGTACAATAACAAACTCCTGGCCTTAGGAACCAAGATTGCAGGTTTAAACAAGTTATAGAGCTAGCCAATCTTCACCTGTAATTTGCCTATATTACTGAGCCAAAGGGAAAGGAAAGAATAATAATATATGTATAAATATCTTGTTTAAATTTTCAATCGATAATAAAAATACTTTCTATTCATCCATTCAAATTCAAATACATTTTTTTAAACTTGTAGTGGATGACATTTGATGTTATATAATACAGGGTTTTTTTTTTCCAAATATTTTATAATTCATTCATTAAATTTCAAAATGAACAAATAGTAACAAAAAATAATAGTCCAACAGCAAATATAGAAAGGAAAATCATTCGTTGTGTCCCTGTAGAGTAATGGATAGCGCGTTGGACTTCTTATCCAAAGTCGTGGTTTCGAATCCCATCTGGGATGGCCTAATTTCTGAGAATGCAATTTCTTTTTTTTTACTGTGGGTGTACTACTTTATTATAATAATTAAATTTAATTAAAGAATACTTAGTAACAAATAAAAAAAGAATAGTCCAACACCCTTTATAGAAATGGAAATTGAAAATCCCTTTCTATTTTGTCACTTAATATTGTGATTCTGTCATATGTATATACATATTTATATTAATTTTGTAATCATTTAATAAAAATTTTTCTTTGTTGACCTAAGTGAGAATTGACTTCAAAATTCTTTTTTTATATATTACTTGTTTTAATATTATATTAACCCTTCTATCAAACATACACAAGAAATATTTACTTTTATGCATTTTTTACTGAGTTATGGGGTAGTTTCGATTACCTTTCATCCATGGCTAAGCCTCTTGCTTGTATTCTACCATAAAAAAAAAGTAAATTGATAAATTTGATTGCTTCATTGATAAAATTTCCCGCTAAATCTTTGGTTGATTGTTCTTAAATAAATGAATTTCCTAATGCAATGGACCATGACCGAGCCACTCAGAAAAAGCCAGCGGGCTGTAGTTTGATCATCACTGAACTAATGTATGATGAAGTGAAATTCGCGCTAATTTTAACTTTTTAAGTGCTTTCTCTTCGCGAGCAAGAGAGATATTTCCGCGTTGCACTATAAAGGAGCACGAGGGCTATTGGCGACGGACTTCGTAATTTTGAGTGATAAGTTGACGAGGACGGCACCTGAGCTGGCACTCCCTTCTGACTTCCACACCACACCAGCGGAAGGAGGGTGGAGCTTCGATAGATTTGACGTGCATTGGGCCTCATACACGATGGGTCTTCAGCGGCACTAGGCTCGAACTCAAGACACGTCAGCCATGAGACCGTGATCTTGACCACTAGACTACCGCGGCCTATTTCCGTTTCCGTTTCGAAAACGACGACGAAAATCGGTGCTTTTCTATTTTCGTGAAACCCAACCGTGTTCTTTTCCATAATGTTTTCCATTGGGTAACCAAAAAGTAAGTCCGTTTTGGAATTATCGTCCCGAAACTAGTTTGCAGGACCGATCCTAGCAGGTATGCACCACTCGAGGGCGGCCGCATATAGTTCAATCAATCAAGAAAAAGTTTGTACAATTTCTAAAAATAAGACTTATAATACTGTGACGGGCTCACGCGTCTTTTCTTTAACATGTCCTTTGTGTACCTTTTGGGGCCAAGATTAATGGCAACTCTTTTCCTACCAAAACCCAAGAAGTGAAACGTGAAGATTAAATGTAAATTAGATAGCTTTTAAATAACAGAAGTTTCAGTAAGTGAAAGGGCAATTTTGGGGAATGTTATGTGAGTGATTGATACAATTGTGAAAGGACGGCCAACGGAGGTTATTCCGAAGATAAAGCCATTAGGTCAAGGTGCATACCATTGCGCTCGCGTAAAGACGCCACTCCCTAGAATCGGAGCTACGATTGGATTAAGGTAGGATTGACTATTTAATATTAGGACTTGCGTTATTATTGAAATTGAGATTAGGCGGGTTATAGATATTGATAGTGGTCCGAGTAAGATAATTACTTGTATGTGTGTGTTTGTTCATCGTAGATTCTCACATATATAATCATTATATATCTAATCTGTTAAAAGTCTAAGTTATAGTTCTTAATAAAGACATATTAAGAATATAAACATGTCTGTTCCTTTTGAAAATCGTGCTCCTCTAGCTCACGCAAATAATCAAAGAGAAGGTCACCCGAGGGGAGCCTTTTCACAATACGTCGAATAAATATGCTGAATTTTAAATAGTTATTGAAAAACTGCGTCAAACGTTGTTCCGTACTTCCTCGTGCTTTCATTTGGTTCATTTGACATAATTAAATTAAATTTTGATTTTAAAAAAGTCAACTAAAGGCTTTTATTTGTCTTTTGAAAAATCCACTTTAAAATTCCCACTTAAAATCAGGTAATTGCTCAGAAGACCTGATCCGGCTTTATGAATTTTGGTTGTAGTTTTTAACCATATTCAATCCTATCCATGAATTAATTTAAGAAAATTGAGAGTAAGACAGGTATTTGATTGGGAAGAGAGGAATCTAGGTCAAAACCTTTAAAAAGGGATTTAATCAGAAGATTTATATCTCACATTAGCTTATACTATATCTTTTGTCATTGTATGGCAGTTTTATACAAATATATCTGGTGCTGCCGCAAGGTAAGTATTCTTAATTATATTTTGCTTTCTTGTATTTAAATTATTTAATGTAGCTTTTTCTTAATACTTGTATACTTAATTTTTTGTTATTTTAAATTTTTAATTATTTTAATTTTCTTTTTAGACTGAAAGCATATTTAACTAATGTGATTAATAGAACTATTTGTTCATTGCTATTCTGATTCGCATACAAAAATAGATTTTTATTCTTAAATTCACTGCATTATTGCTAATGATAATTGTACTATTTACTTAGTTCTACAAAAATTTATCCTTTTTCTACATTTTGTAAATTTTAGTGTAGGATTTCTCTCTCTTTCTCTCTAAACCTATTTTTTTAAAAAATATTACATGTTTCATTTTCATGCTTCAACTAGGATTAGAAAGAATCCCACATTAATTTTTGTAGAAAGAGGTGGTGGGGGTACTTAGATCGAAGCTAGAGGAACTTTACTTTTACGGCGTATTGGTAGGGGGACAAACTAACGCGTTTCAGAATGGCGGGGGGGGGGAGGGGAAAAGTCCCTCTTTTTTTTTTAATGGTAAGCGGTGTGTATGTCACGGATGCCCTTGTACGAGCCGGATTTCCGACTCGAGACGAAAAAAGTCGAAGGAGCATTACATATCCGAGCGTGGCGTTCATTCAAGTTCATTCTCCAGCAAAATGCGCCAATAAAAGTTATCACTTCAATAAAAGTCAAAAATAAGTTTTAATATTTTGATCAATTTTGCTGTGCCCAATATTGCTTTGGTCTTCGAGTGTCCTCCCCCCAATATCCACATGTTGCGGCCCGCGTGATATACCTGACATATGTATGTGGCCCGGAGGGGAAAAAGGTTGAAAACCTCTGCCTCAATCCATTAAGCGTTGATATAGATTTCCCAACGTCCCTCGAAGTTACGTATTACCCGAACAAAAAGAACAGTCACAAGAGGAATCAGTGATGCACACAAACCTCTCTCATGGGGGAGAGGGAAAGTACATTCGAAAAAACACGTAGGCGAAAGGGCGGTGGGGTACACCCTATGGCAGGGGTGGCTAACCCAAATGACCTCACGGGCGGCATATAAAAATATATATCTTTATATAAGATTTGGACCCATTATAAACATTTATTGGAGTAAAAATTTAAAATAGATTGATGCATTCTTAATATTGTTTTCACTTTTTTCATTTATACAAACTTAGATAATATAATAATAAAGCCATGATCAAATAATGTTTAATTTATTTAATTAGTATGAGATATATTTGTTTCTCAACTCTTTCACTTAGTTTCTGCAATGTTGCTCAATGCATGTATTTGCTTAACTTAATTGAGGTAGTAGGTTTTCGTCCGTTAAGTTTGAGTACGTATGTTTGATAAATTTCAATTTCGGAAGAAAAAAAAAAAAAAACAGATTCGCAATTAACAGCAGTGTGATAAAATATAAACAGTTATGGGACATTTAAAAACTCTAAAAACAAAAATATTGTACAAAATAATCGCATTTTGTTAAGTTGTAATGAACCTCACGGGCCACGGGTTGGCCACCCCGGCTCTACGGTAAAAGTTAAAAATTTGTTGGTCTACTGGAAAGGGTGGTTGAACTCATTGGCGTAACGTATACCCCTGCAACCCCGTACTGCGGAAGGCCCCAAAGCTATAGACTGACGTAAAGTACGTATTTGGGCTCTTGGCCCAAAACCTGAGTTTACAGGGGGAGGGGGCCTAATATTCTCCGTTTCGTCACTGATTAAACTCTTTCCCCGCTTACGCCACTAAGAGGAATATATTTCGAATTTTCAATAACAGACAAATACGAAAGCAAAAATCCATTTTACTCGAAATCTCATTTTACTTACTTCTTTCTGTTTATTTCACCGAGTTTTGGATTACCAAATATCCGTTGCGTCGCATATAAGATTTATAATAACATTAGAGACAGATGTTTTGGAGATCGGAATGAAGGCTAAGTGACACCCTCGTCACTATATTTCCAAAGGATATAATCCGTTCTCGCGGTCGCGAACGGTTCTCCGTGACTCTGAAGTGAGTTTTTGTAAAGTATTTTTTTGCCCCGGGTGCTGACGAAATCTCACAAATAAAGTAAATATTATCCGATATTGTATTTTCGAAAACATGTCCGTATAGATGCTGTGCTGTTCGAAGAACATCCCGATTCAGAATATTGTAGAGTCCCAGAATTTCTATATTCTGAGAATCTCTTCCTGTTTCTTCAAGCGTTGAACGGGCAATAAAATAGCATGCTCGTGCATTTGTAGATTCCTCTGTGCATATACGTATTCATATGTGCATTATATCTTTCCATTAATATTACGTTTCACTTGAAAGCGGATAAGATCACTTTTACGATAATATTAATATATTATTTTTTAGAATGTATATACAAAAGTTTCAAATAAATTCCACAATCAAAGAGAATACATATCAATATTTTTCAATAAATGCATA